CGAACTCACAGACCGTGAGATCGTGACCTGGCTGAAGTCGGCCGCTTAACCGACTGCGCCACCCAGGCGCCCCTCCCATATGTTTTAACAAAAAATTATTTAAATGAAACATTTAAGGCTACCTACATTCTTCTCTTAACCACTTCTATCTAATAGGGAATATAGGAGAAGCTAATATTTTTGTAGCACACATTTTGTGCAGGTGCTATGTTTGTGTGATTTCACATGTAATATTTAATCCATGTAACAGCCTTGTGAGGTATATTTTCATCATAATTTTTGCAGACCTGGAAGGGTTTTAAGAAGAACTAGTTTAGCTAAGGTTCAAGTGTGATTTTCATGATAATGAGTGCCTACTTAATATAAGTCACCTAAAAATTACATGATTTTATTATTGTTTAAAAAGTTTCTTTAATAATTACACAGGTATTACTTATCTAAAAAATCACTTCCAGAAAATTTCTGGCTTGATCAAAAGGAAGGTGATAAAAAATACATGAAGAGGTAAAATTAATTTTTAATACTCTTAACAGTATGAACTGTATTTTTAAAAATGTGTTCCTAAGCTCCCTTATTTTCTTTTTCATGTGGTGCAGTCTACAGAAATCAGCAAAAATCATGTATGTACTTATATGTTTTATATTCTAAAATTATAGGAGAATTAAATAAAAATTATAGTTGGCCTGTGGAAAAACTCTTAACCTTGGGTTGTACAAAAATATAAAATCAAAGTTTCTTATACAGATGTTGGAATGCCACAAGATAATTTTATGATATTATTTATATGTCAGAATTTCTATTATGGTCCTGCATAAGCAATTCCATGGTTATGGAAAAGATGTTTTCCTAGGGATATGTGGGGAAATATTTTAAAGCTGCTAATGTGTTAGGAATTGGCTTGATTTCTGTTGTCCTGTCAGTTAATTTTCACTCATTTCAAACAAAAATTTAATTTGAATTTGTGGCCTTCAAAAATTATCTAGAGAAATTAAGTATTAACATTTTATAAATATTCTTTCCCTGTAATTGAAGGAAATTTGATGTTATTTATTGTTTATAACCTTTCACGTTTGTGGTCCCTCAAAGGGTAGACTTACAAAGGGTAGATTTACAATTGCCAAGGGTTTGAACACTGAGCAGACTTTGGCTTTTGTATTTCGCTGAATAAATAACAACAAACAAAGAAAAAGAAGTTAGTAAAGATTAATGGTTTGCTTGAATTAAATTAATGAGCTTCATCACTATTTTATTTTTAATTTCTTAAGGGACTGCGTTTCAGAAGTAATAAACATAATGCCACAGTTTCTTCTTTTCTTGCTTGATATTTACATAGATTTACATGAAAGAATCAGAGAGATAATATTTCTGGAGCCAATTTAAACACTCATATACCTTTTAGGATTTGGAAATTTATTAATGTCTGCTGCTTTGTGTCCAGTGTAAGGAAGCCTGCTGGCTACCACATTGACTTCCTTTGATGTCTTTTAGTGTTATCTTCACTCAGACCCAAGGATTATGTCTTTTGAGGCTCCTATCATCCTGGGCTAGAGAAGTATACAAGACAGGGTAAATCTGCCCCCAGGTAGAGGCTGCAGCCTTCTTTTTCTTCTTCTTTTTAACTCTTAGACACAGTATTGAATTTAGCCTATGGCTATCTGTGTAACCTTTAGCTGCATAAATATGGAATGTTCCATTTCAGACTTTTTTTTTGCAATTCCTTTTTTTCCCTTCAGGGCACACTCTCCTACAAAACCAGCCAGTTACTCAGTAAAGTGGACGATAGAAGAAAAAGAGCTGTTTGAACAAGGGCTGGTAAATAGTGCAATTTTTAATTTATAGTAAAATAATTCTAGAAGCCAATATTAAAAGAATTATAAGGTTAATTTGTAGAGACCAGAGATTTCTTTTTAATGATCACATCTTTAGTCTTTCTGTAGTGGCGATGTTGATAGTATAGCATGAGAGAATTCCTTTTAACTCGTGTCTAGATTACTAAAATATTAAAATAGATTTGGATCAATATTTTAGATAGTTTTCATCCTCCCCCCACTCTTTTTTGGTATTGGTAAAACCCAGGAAACTGAGCTCTGTCTGTATACATAACACCAACTACCTAGATTAAAAGGAAGAAAATACTTATCTGATGTTTTCTCTTGGGGGGAAAAAAACCCAGAAAAACAAAAAAACTTGTATATTTGGAACGGTCTGCATAATGAGCTGAGTTCTTTTTTATTCAGATATTTGGCATTGTGCACACAGTCCGAATATTTTTTTAGTGGATGTAGTGGAAGACCAGAAATACTTCTTTTGCATGAATGTTTCACTGAGATCTATTTAAATGTCCACAGGTTACATAATAGAAAAAAAAAAAGTACGCCAGTTTCTAATTCTGAAAATTCTCCTACTAACATGAAGAAACTTTTACGAAAATATTTGGAAATTTTTTTCTATTAAGTGTAGGTTGTATCTTTTTCTTTAAGGAACATGTTACCCAGTATTATGCTAATTTTGAAATGATATATACTTATATATAGGACATTTATGTAATATTTATGTGGGATTTATGAATGCAAATTGAAATGTCATTGTTAACGTTTCTGCAGATGAGGGAAATAAAATGTATTTGTATTTTTACAGTTATCACCATGACATCTATATATTCTGTGATGTCTTTGTATAAATAAATAAACTATCTTGAAGGTTTTATCTCCTCCTGAGGTTTTTATCCTGTACTGTTGATGTTTTTTATATTGGTATTTCATTCTGTTGCATGATTATCATTTTTATAACTGAACTTTAATTAACTAGTCACTGATTTAAGATTGCTGATTGCTTTGGTGTTTTGCCCCTTACTGAAGACTCTGTGTGTGTGTGTGTGTGTGTGTGTGTGTGTGTGTGTGTGTGCGCGCGCGCGCGCGCGCACATATACACACCCAATAATGGGTTGTAAATTTTTAGATTATTGTTGACACTGGTGGTAATGATAGGGGCTTCATCTGCATGGCTCAAAATTCATAGGGTATCTAAAGTTACAGGGTGTTAAGTCCCCCTATCACTCCTGTCTCTGCCTTAGTTCTCATTGCCGGAGGCAACCATTGTCATCTGTTCTTTGTGTATGCTTCCAGAGATATTTTGTCCCTATATAAGCAAATATATATTTATTTATAGATAGATAGATAGATAGATAGATAGGTAGATATCTACTTGTATACATAAACAGATATTTTAAACTTAGAATGTTTTCCCACAAAACTACATGGAACTATTGGTTGTATTCCCAGCCTTTTTAACCTGTTGATATAGTTTGTTTATACACTGAATTCTCTCAGGCTTTAGGGAAAGGAATTGTGTGGTACTGAATGATGAAGGAAGATTTTTCTTTCCCTTTTTTGGGCATAGAGCTCTCTTTTTTCTCTATTTTGAAATTGGTGAGTTTTTTCTTTGTTCCCCTTGTTAGTGTACCATCTCCAGTTTTCATAATGCCTAAGCTCCTACAGCCCCAATTGTCCAGATCTTTGCTGCGTCCAGAAGTGTTCCATGCTACGAAGTTATTCATTTGCCTTCATCCCACAATAAATATAACTAATTTTGCAGTAAGTTGCCCTCAGCTAGGTGTTAGTTAGGAGAAAAATTATTTAAGATAGTTGTTAATTATTTAATTTATACTTACTAAGAATTATCCTAGAAGTACGTTGAGTTTGTTTTTTTTCTTAAGTTTATTTATTTATTTTAGGGAGGGCGAGGCAGAGAGAGGGAGAGAGAATCCTAAGCAAGCTTTGCACTGTCAGCACGGAGCCCGATGTGAGACTCGAATTCATGAACCTGAGATCATGACCTGAACTGAAATCAAGAGTCAGAATCGTAACTGACCAGGCCACCAGGCACCCCAAAGTACTTTCAGTTTTAAGAAATGTTCATGTGTCAGATTTTCTCATGAATATCAGAAATAAGTATATAATTAATTTATTATTTGGGTCAGGTCTTGAAGATGATTTGCCACTGTAAGTCATGACCTGTAAATGTCGTAACGTGACCTATAAATCTGGCCCTGAGATCAGCTTACCTGAGTTGTAGAACTACTGTGAAGATTTATATGTCAAGTAATAGAATTGACACTTAAAAATTCCTTTTAGCTTTAAAATTATACTGCATTCCCATGGGCATCTGGGTGGCTCAGTCAGTTAAGCATCTGACTTTTGGTTTCGACTCAGGTCATGATCTCACACAGTTCATGAGTTCAAGCCCCACATGCTATTAGCACAGAGCCTGCTTGGGATTCTCCCTCTCTCTCTGCCCCTACCCCCACTTGCACTGTCTCTGCCTCTCTCAAAATAAACTTAAAAGTTAGAACACCAAATATAGTTTTAAAAAAAATTATTGCATTCCTTTCTGTACTTCAGAAACCTCCAGATCTCCCCCCGGGTCTCATTTTTTTTCCCATCACAGCTTCATTGTTCCCAGGCACACAGCCTTAAACAGTACAGGGCTACAGGAAGCTGTTGGATGCAGGTCCTATCATTTGTGATTCATTCTTGTAAGTCAGTTTACTGCCATACTATGTAGAGTAAAAGTACTATGGGATAGGTAATGGGTATTGTAACCCATGGATCTGGGTTTAAAAAAAAAGGTATTTTGAAATCAGTGTCAGAATATAATCAGTTGATTCTATAAATGGGAAATGTAACCTCCCTTTTTTGAGGCATTTGTTTTTTAGGTTGGGAACCTCATAATGTGCAATATGAATACATAGGGTTAGGAATATATAAGCGGTGCATCTTCATCTCGAAAGCTGTAAAAACTAATTTCTAAATCATTTTGGTCAGTTTTCAGAAGTCTAGATTCTAATGAGTTTAAGAATCTTAGCTATATATGAGACTTCATTGTGTGCTTTAGAAAATAAAGATGGGTTGTTCTTTTAGGTTTTTCTTAATGTGACAGTTGCTTGGAATATTAAGTTAATCAAAATCCATTTCTTTTCCATTTTGATAATATAGGCTAAATTTGGCCGAAGGTGGACCAAAATTGCAAAGCTAATTGGAAGTCGCACTGTTTTACAAGTTAAGAGTTATGCCAGGCAGTACTTTAAAAATAAGGTAAGCAGGATATAAATATCCTAGTCAGTAATAATAATTGCAATAAAAATTAGTAAGCAAAAGTAGCTTTTTAATTGAGGCATTAAAGTCAATGTCTGAAGTTTTTGTAATAAAAGTATTTTTTATTCTTATAGTACTTAACACATGTTTATCTTCAAAAATCTGAAAGCATATCTTTAGTTTTTTGAGTATTGCTATTGGAAGTCATTGTTTCCTGGAAAATACCTTTTCTTCTTAAAGATTGGCTGCATTGTAGCTTTTAAGAATGATTAGAACTTAGGGGCCATAAATATTAACATGATGCTAAAATCTGTTTAATAGCAGTGAAACTTTTATAATTTTTATGTAAAATTATCTGAGAACTTCAGTAAGTTGCAGTGTTATGGTCTAGTGCTTTATCCTTTCAAGTAATCTATGCTATATTTAACCATGTAGTTTTGATGTTTAGAAAATTGTAATATGTTTTCTGCTTGAGTTCTGGGAACACAATTATACAGAATTTGAAAGGGTCTTAAGTGATACTTGCTGTTTTCTTTTAATGCAAATAATAGGTTTTACCCTGTATACAAGATTTCTCTTAGTGTCATTTGAGCATAGGAAGTAGGTAATGGAATGGATTCATTATACATCAGTCATGTGCTACGTCTTTAACCAGACGAAAGCATTTACAGGGCAGCCCACCATGGCCAAAGTATTATGGAAGAGAATAAAGATTAACTTGGTTATTCGCACTTCCATGCTCCTCAGACTCAAACATGCACAACATCTTGTAGTGTTAATCTTTCTCAAAGATTTGGGGTGAAAGGATACACTGTGATGTTAAAAGAGACATTAATATGTTATGAAATATAAAATTTTGTCTGAATTTTTAGCGTAAAAACAGGAGACTTCGAGTAAATAGCAAGATTGTTAAAAGCCATTCCAGGCTATATGTCCACATCTGTTTTTCTGTCCTCCTACCCTTTTGTTCTTTACACAGTAAGCCAGTTAACCTCAAGTACTGGATCCTGGGGTTCTATTGTGATACAGAATCACAATAAGCTCTTTTTTAGGAGCTGTCATCCTTGGGAATGTCAGTCATGTACAAGATTTTTCAAAAACCATTTATGTAAAGATTTTATTTTAAATCCTTTATATTCATTGACAATTGTTTTCTTTTCCTTGACTAGATATTTATGTCTATAATAGCAGATATGGAAGATAATTTCATGCTTTAAATTATAAGCTGTATAATGCTGGAACTCTATTAAATGAACCTTTGAAAAATAGTTGTTTCTATTATCGCTGTATTTACCTTCAGTTTACTAAATAAAGATATGTGACATAGATTCCTTTAAATAATGAGCTGTTTAGCTTTATAAAAAATGATCAGTGGAAGTATCTGACATTCTAAGAATTAAGCCATTAAAAATATTTTAATATCTTAAAGAATCCCTTTGTATGACAGGTTTTTTGTTTTTTTTTTTTTTTGGTTCATTCTCTGGTTGATCTACACCAGATTCCTGTTTTAAACTTAAAATGGAAAAACAAGTATAGTTGTACATAGGTCATGATTATTTGATTAATAAAATCACCAGACCATAAATGAGTCAAATATATTTATGGAAATTTGAAATGATGATATTTTACATTTAAAATGCAGTTGTGAATCAGTCCTTAGAAGGAAAGCACAATAAAGGTATGCCATTGACATGTACTTGGTTTAATAATTGTATTTATCATATATGTACCAGTGGTTAAATTTTTAAATGTTAATATGGGGGTTTTATCTTGATTTTTAATAAGGTAAAATTAGATGGTCCAGAGAAGGGAACACCACATCAGAAGAGCAGCAGTGGTCTTCAGATTAAAAATGAAGATGAAGGCACAAAGGCCTGGACGCCATCAGGTTTAAGGGGACATGCTGATCCCAACTTGAATGCTATAAAAATTGAAAAGTTATCTGATGATGAAGAAGTAGACATTACAGATGAGGCAGATGAGGTGACTTCTCAAGCTCCTCCCAAAATTCCTGGCAGTGATGTCTTATTAAACATTCCTAATAGTAAAAGTCATGAAACCAGTCAAGGAGAATTTATTGCTTCTTACAACCAGGAAGATTCCATATCTAAATCTTCCAGGGAATATTTTGAGAATACAAAGCAGGGTGAAATGGAAGTACTTTCAAGCTCAGGAATTACATTTTGGACTGAAAAACAGAGCACTAGTGACAAAAAATCAGTTGAATTAAATGATCAGAAATGTAATAAACTGGTGAAAAGCTGTGAAAAACATGATGGAAATGGAGTAATAGACGATGCCAGGCAGCTGCCTTTTCCAGAGCTTTGTGAAGTTCGGGAAGATCTGAGTGATGAAGAAATGCTTTTTCATTCTTCCTGCCAAATGGAGGGGGAGAGCCACGAGGAAGAAGAGCTTAAGCCACCAGAACAAGAAGTGGAAATAGATAGAAATACCATTCAAGAAGAAGAAAAACAAGCAATTCCTGAGTTTTTTGAGGGGCGCCAAGCTAAGACACCAGAACGCTATTTGAAAATTAGGAATTACATTTTGGATCAGTGGTAAGGAAGAATTCTATTTTAGATACCGTTTTAAAACTTCTGATACTCTAGGGTATTTTAATGAGGCCTATTGAGGTTTTAGTCATTTACATTGCGAGTGATGCAGAGAGCTTGAACATATGAATATATTTTAATAGGCAAGACTTCAAATTTCTCATAAGGAAGTTTTCTTTGAAAGCTTTGGTACATATTGTCATCTATAGCTATTTCATCCCATCTGTCTGTTCATTAAGGGTATTTGGTCCTGGAAAAAAGGGATAATTTGCTTTAAGAAGCAGTTTCTTAGGACAGTGTTAGGAAGATACAGAAAGAAAAAAACTTGAAAAGGAGAATGTCTTTCCTAGTTTATCATGTACTTGTAAGTACAAAGAGAAAATTTTGGTAACAAAAGGATAGTGTCATTAAATGTGGCTAGATTACAGAAACCTTTTCCTAAATTGCTATAAATGCTTTCAGCTTTGAACTTGTAACATAATGTGAACGTAATCCCTTCATCTAGCTTCATTAGGATACAGGAATTTTCTGATAGATGAAGTTCATCTTTTGAATTGTCAATACCTTTTATTTGAATTATTTAGTGTTGGGTGGGGCGCAAACCAAAAAACTTCCCACCTTATTAGCCTAAGTGCTCTGCAAATTGAATTTTTCGTGATAGTTTAATTAAGACATTACCAGACATTCATAATTGTTGTTACTGCTTCTGGAGACACTTAATTGCATAGAGCCATCTTTACAGAGGACTTCTGCCATAACCTTGGAAGATTACCAAAGGAAAACAAATAATCATGTGTATTCTGTCCGTAACCTTCAGTACTCACACAATATTAATTTGACTAATTTTTAAAATAGCTTTGTCAGAAAAGAAAGATTTTTGTTCTTGACTCGTGGTTGTCTTGCTGATGGTCGAGATGGCTAAAAGTAAAATTTCTGGGCAAGGTGGTCTCAAAGGAAAATAAATATAAGGAACAGCTGCTATTCGCATAGTACTTAACGGTTTACAGAAAGCTTTTCTATGTTGTTTGATTCCTCACAACAGTCCTGTAAAATAGGCAGGTGGTATTTTCTGTGTTTGGGAGATTCTAAGGTCAGGAGAGGTCTAGGGGCCTGCCTTTGATTATATAACCAGCCACTGACAGAAAGAGGACCTGTGAGCAGGTCCTAACTCTGTCAGTCATTTCCTCCATTATTTCACATTGCCTGATTGACACTACTGAAAAAGACCAGTCAGATTAGATCTAATTTTGTTTTTGGAAATAAGAGGATGAATGGCCAAAATGGAAGGACTTCAAAATAATAACTCAAAAATTTTTTTTACCTGTGTGAATCATCAGTGAGTGACTTAATGGTACTTTAATCAAATTTCATTTGTTTGAATTTTGAGTTCTCAATAAGGCAGAATAACTTATGTAGATAGTATAAATTATATGGCAGTAGTTTCCTAATGACATTTGCCTTAGTCATAACACCAGTTAAAGGCTGTTTGAGTATGTGATTTAACAGAACAGTGTGAAAGGAGAAAGAAGTGTTTTGAACAGGAACTCCAAACTATTCTCTTCGGAAATAGAAGAGGGGACTGGAGGTGGTGTTAAAAAAAAAAAGTAGAAGAGTTAAAGTTTTAAAAGAAAAGACCTGATTTGTTTGTAGCTAAAGGATCCTTTCCATAAAAACACATGCAACTGACCCCCTGTTTATGGGAATGTTTTAAGATAGTTAACACTGTTATTGAATGCCTCCCGAATGCATTTAAATGTATTTAAGTCATCTCCAGTTCTGACAAACTCGTCCTCATTCTACAGATGAGAAAAATGAGTCTCAGAGAGGAAAAAGAACTTGTTCCAGGTCACATTAGGTGAAGGTGACTTCAGGGTCTGCAGTCTTGACTTGTAATTTTCTCACTTCATCTCAGGTCCTTGACTCAGACTTTTTCACTCTGCCCTGAATGCTTCCCCCATGCTGCCTTCTAGATCTTGGTGAACCATGCATCGTTGTCCCCTCAGGTCTGCTCCAGGGAAGTTAGAGGACTTCACTGACCACCCTATCTAAAATAGCTCACATCTGCCCCTCACTCTCTTAGTTTGTATTCTATTTATCTTCATAGAACTTACTACTACTGAAGATACGACGTTTTTATTTCTGTATTGTCTTCTCTTCCTTCCCTCTCCCTCCCCATGATAATACAGACTTCATATGGACAGACTTTTGTCTGTTGTGTTCATTGTTACACCTCTAGTGCTTAGGGCAGTGCTTGTTCTAAGCAAATACAAAAGGCACTCTTTGTTAAGGGGAAAAGTTGGCATGATGAATCACGAACAGGGATCTTTAGAGGCCTTAACCGTTTGTTCAGCACCAAACTAGTGCTGAGCTTTGTTTAAAGTCTTTCGATTTGGGCAGTCTTTAATTAAATCAATACTGTTTTTAGATTGCTACAGATTTTTGGTAGCTTGTTACACCGTGTTCATTCCTGTTTTCTTGCCTTCATTTGTGCAATTTGTTTCCTTTTCTTTCACACTGAACTGAAGTGAAAACACTGAAATCTCATCTTTTCAATGGCATTTCTGATACCCTGCCATATCACAAATTACTTCTTGCCCTCACTGAATGCCTGTAGAATGTATGATTTTAAATTTGGTTTCTGCTTAGGCAGGCCTTCCCTAAACACCCTCTCTGAAGTAGTCTGTGCCTTTTTGTCTCTCTATCCCTTTATCCTTCTTACTGTTTCTTCCTAGCCCTTACTGCTATATATATAATTAATTATATATTAATATAAGATTACAAGCAATATATTAATATGTAATATATATTAGTCACATTCTCCCATTAAATTTTTTTTAAATTTTATTTTTGAGAGAGAGAAAGAGACAGAGCAGAGGAGGGACAGAGAGAGAGAGAGAGGAAGACACAGAATCTGAAGCAGGCTCCAGGCTCTGAGCTGTCAGCACAGAGCCCTACATGGGGCTTGACCTCATGACCCATGAGGTCATGAGCTGAGCCAAAGTCAGATACCTCACTGACTGAGCCACCCAGGCGCCCCTATATATCCTCCCATTAGCATGTAAAGTCGGGAGCTTTATATTCATGTCTGTATCCTTAGTGCCTAGACAGTGCCCGGTATGTAAGATGCAAAGTAAATATTTGTGGAATAAAATAAAGATTCAATAAGAAATCCTGTTACATGATATGTCTGAATACTTGGTCTATAATGTCTGTATGTAAATCTTGACTTTAACTTCCTCAAATAAGTACTTTAATTTCTTTGACTTTTTGCTTCCTTATCTCTAAAATAAGAATAATAAAATCTACTTTGTAGAACTGTTGTGAGGATTAAGGTTGTGTAACTGTTAGTACTGGCATAAGCACTCGGGAACTGTTTGCTGCTATTATTAAGTTCTCCACTACTCTTAAACTCTATCTGCCATGGTACAATAAGTACATTCAGTAAATATGAACTGTATTATGTAAACCTTGTATTTTTTTCATAGTCTTTGGGCATTTCTTGATTTCTTGGAAATCCTCTATAATATTAATATTTCTGTTTTCCACTGCGAGTGCTTACTCTTATTTATTGGCCTAATGATTAAAAACCAGTATAAAACTTTCAAGCATTTATAAGGTAGCTTATAATTAAAAGATACTGCCCAGCAAAGTGAAAGTGGACGAACCTTAGTAATATATTAAAAATTAGAAAAGTCTAATACCAAATACTTTAGATATGTTGTCAGAGTGCCCTTTTTATTCTTGAAGCTTGAATTTGGATCTGTTGACAAAACCTCTAACTTTAAAATCCTGGGATAACTGGAATCTATGGCATTTCATATGGGAAAAAAATAATAGTTAATAAAAATCACATTATACTTGTAAGTTATTGTATCATTTAAAGGTAATTTCAGGAAAAAGTACAGTTGGGTATTATGTATTAGTATTGTTTTAACTACACATTTACAGATTGAGGGGGGTAAATTTTTAAGATATTTCAAATATTAAAAGTTTTCCCCAGAAATCTTTTTTCATGTTTTTATTTATCCAAAATAACTGTACTTCCATCTCTTAATTAGGGAGATATGCAAACCGAAATACTTAAATAAGACCTCAGTACGTCCTGGCCTGAAGAACTGTGGGGATGTTAATTGTATTGGACGGATTCATACATACCTCGAGTTGATAGGAGCAATCAATTTTGGATGTGGTAAAAATAAAAACCCAACAACATCTTTTACTCAACATTTTTTATCCTTAGAGCACCCGTTAACTTCCTTGATGGTTAGAATTCAAGCAGATTTAGTATAGATGCAGAATTCAGAAAGATGCTATAATATGGAATAACTGTATTACTAAGTTTTTTTGTAAAACAGATTTCTGTTGGTTAAGCTACATTTTCCTGTAACCTACAGTGAAAATTGGTGGTATGAAAAGGAAAAATATTCTCTAAGTGGGAGAAATAATTTAACAATGAAGCTCTTTGTCAAGTACAAGTAACGTCATTTTAAGAAAAGTCTGATAGTAGCCCATTCAATATGCAAAATCTGTATTAATGCTAGAAATGCTGTCTAGCAGTGTTTAAGTAAAGGAAATAATTTATGAGCCTCTACACTTAAATGTAATAAAAGTGCCAAAATATTTTTCACGGAAGCAAGTTTCTTTCACCCTAGTTTTTCTCAAATATGCATGATTTTGAATGTATTTTTCACTTTTATTGAATTAACTTGACACAAACATTTTGAAGAAAGTTAATAACCATAGTTGTGATAAGGTAATTAGATAGGTAATTAGAACTTTGTAACCCATGGTTTCAGAAGAATATGTTCTGTCTTTGAGAAGACAGCTAACCAGAAAATCTCCTATCAGAGATTATTTATTTATCTTGTAGAGAGAATTTACAGTCTGCCCTGTGGTCTGTTTTTCATTTCGGTGTCTGTTTCCCCAGGCACTGTATCTTGGGACTGGCTGCTTAGGAAAACTAAGGGTTCGCAGCTTCCACAGCCACTAAAAAAAAGTGAAATCACGTTTTCTGTGTTAGACCTCTGAATTCAGCAAAGTGAGCTTAGCAGTCGTTTAATTAGAAATTAAATTACCCATTTCCTGAATATCCCATTTTACTGAGATTTCCTTAAGAGTGTTAGTTTTACGTGAGACTGCCAAGTAATTGCAGAATTAAGATAGAAGCTTAGGTATAACAAAACTTAGAAATTGGCTTACAACTTCCAGTCAGTATAGGTGTGCCTTCCTATTGAACGAATGAGTTTCAGAAAATAATAGGCTGTTTTATTTTTCCCGAATTCCAATAGAACAGGCTGTGTACAACAGGCCACAACCAGTTGACAAAGCACGAGCCAGGGACCGAAAAGATGCGGCGGAAGCATACCAGCTTGCACAGCGTCTGCAGTCTATGGTAAGTGTTCACCTGTCATCTAAGGTGTGCCCCCTTCTAGCCACCTGTTAAACACATGGACAGTGAGTGGAAGAACGTGTTTTCTCTTGTATGTCACCTTAGCCATTTACTTTTCTGGTTTCTATTCAGTGTCATGTTAGTTTATAAGGCAAAAACCAAAAGCACCTCGTAATTCGCCGGCAGACTTGACACGGAAGCGTCGCACTTTGCTCGCGTGGCCTTAGAATTCTTGGTTCCGGTTTCTAAGTCCAGTGTGTCTTTTACAGCCATACAGCTAAGCTCCTTTTTCTTTCAGTTACTTTGTTTAGCTAAAAAGTCTTAGGTTAAGATTCAGCTTCTTGGAATAGCTATCCAAACTATTGTAGCCTTTCTTTTTTAATTCTTGAAGTTAGGGAGTTTTACAGTATCTTACAATTTGTGAATCTTATTTTAAAGGTGAGTGATCTACAAGTCTCTTAAAAGGCAGAGTCATAGTGTGATCTCGTTGGTTTTACTAATAAAGTAGATTGGTAATAGGTGAGGTAAATGAAGAAACGTATAGATAATAGAGTGGACATTTTTCTTAGCGTATTTAGGCTGTTAACCATTTCTGCCTACCTAGATTTACTTTTATAAGAAAGGATGTATTTAGATACAGTTGCTGGAAAAGGTGCCACTCAAACACTGGCCTCTGAGCCAGTCTTTTTTGTTTGTTTGTTTGTTTGTTTTTTTGTTTTGAGAGAAAGAGAGGGAGAGAGTGCAAGCTGGGAAGAACTGAGGGAGGGAGAGAGAGAATCTTAAGGAGCCTCCACCACACCCAGCACAGAGCCTGACATGGGGCTCAGTCTCACAACTATGAGATCATGACCTGAGCCGAAATCAAGAGTTGGACACTTAACTGACTGAGCCACCCAGGCGCCCTTGAGCAGTCTGTTTTAAAGGCTTCAGTATTGGGGTTTATAAAACTAGATATTAGTAATCTTGTCAACTAATTTCATAATGTTTTATTGTTTTTATTGCATCCACTAGGCAGTCTTTCCCTTTCTGAGGCTGAGATGTAATTTTGCTTCTAGTTTTAATATTCTCCCTCTTGCTACGCGTTCTTGCAAGTTTTCTACCACAAGTGGTTGAAAGGGAAGTCATTTTCTTGGTGGTTCTTTTTAATCTTAAAAATATTTTTTGTCCTAGTATTTTAGTTTCTAAGTGGCAATAGGAAATGAAAATTCAATAAGAAATCCAGGTAAAATTCAGAAAATCATTACTGATTTATTTCTGAGCAGAGTGCAAACTATTAAACATAAATTAATAAAATAAAATTTAGTCAGGCAATGCTGATCAGGGATTACAGTATTTTAATGGAGAAATTAACTGATTTTTTTTTTAAATATCATTTTGGCTTTGTGTATTGTGCTGTGATTTCCCCAGGTTAATCTTGTTACCTTTTGCTTCATTTTAATCTTATCACAGCGCACAAGGAGACGTAGGGTCCGAGACCCATGGGGAAATTGGTGTGATGCAAAAGACTTAGAAGGACAAACCTTTGAGGTAACTTTGACCTTACCAGATAGGTCATCACTAAAAGTTGTTCCGTCATTTATATATGTATGTCTTAATGTCACATATATTACACTTGTTGTGTGTGCGTGTGTGTATCCGTCCCATGTTAATTTGTCTAGAAGTCACCAATAAACAACAAAATAGAAGGCATTGGTGCAATTAACTAGGAGTTGGATTCGTTTTCCAAATTTTGTCTATTCTCTGTATTCTGGTCTCTAGCTCAAGAATATCTGCCAAGGTGCCAGGAAGTTGGTATGCCTAATTCATTTCAGTAAACATTTATTTATAGAATGATGTTCTGATATACCAATTAAAATATTGTCCCAAGCATTAGACATAAATTGAATTACAAATACTAAAGTGTCATTTCCACCAATAAAAACTGTGGTTCTGAAAAGAAACATGGGTGACGAATGTGTGTGTGTGTATAAGTTCTGTATCTATAGAATTTATTTGTGAACACCCAGTGCAGTAGAATGGAAAGAATGTGTGAATGTGTACTTACTGGCTTTCTTACCTTGAGCAGTTTCTTTTTTTTTTTTTTTTAATTTTTTTTTTTTTTCAACGTTTATTTATTTTTGGGACAGAGAAGAGACCACTTAGGCATGAAACGGGGGGGGAGGGCAGAGAGAGAGGGGAGACACAGGAGAACAGGCTCCAGGCTCTGAGCCACATCAGCCAGAGCAAACAGGGGCTCGAACTCACGGACCGTGAGATCGTGACCTGAGCTGAAGTCGGACGCTTAACCGACTGCGCCACCCAGGCGCCCCGAGCAGTTTCTTAACCTCACTGAAATTCAGGTTTTTGTTTATGGAGTGTGAATAATACCTCTGTCCAAGAATTGTTATGAGAATTAAGTGAAGTAAATGGAATAAAATGTATGAAGATTCTAGTACTAGGTTACTTAATAAGCCTTGCATATACCAATTACTCAGTAAATTTTAGTTTTCCTCTTGAGTTTCAGTACAAAAACAAAACAAAAAGAAAACGTTCTCCTCTTTTTCTCTTCCCCATTCCCTGTCCCTAGCCTCACTTAATCTCTAATCTAGACACAACATTAGTAACGCATGATTCCTGCCTAGAAAGAACTTCTATAGTTTCTAGTAGGAAAGATGAAACCTGTGTTAAGTTCCGTAAGGTTGATCTTAAGAAATGTCAGGTCTTCCCCAAGGGGTGTGTGTGATGAGAGAAGGTTTCACAGAAGATGTGACTTGAGGGATTAGCAGGACAGTCTCAAAATGTAGAAAAGTAGGTGAGGGCATTCCAGGCTAAGGTAGCAGCATAAACAAAGGTAGAGATGTGGGAAAATACCAGACATATTCTGGAAAAGGTGCCTAGTTATTTGGGCTAAAGTGTAAGAATGATAGTAGAAATGGAATGAAAAGATTAATTTTGTACTTATGTAGGACTTATTATGTATGTGTCCAACCCTATTCTAGTGTTTTATAAACATTAATGCATCGTTACGATGACATCATGACACTGTTATTATTACTATTTTTGTTCCCATTTTAAAGATAAGGAAACTAAAGTACAGAAAGCTTCAGTAATTTGGCCAGGGTCATCCAGTAAGTAGCAGAGTGAGGCATTCTGTCTCCAGAATCTGTACTCTTTATCATTATGCTGCGCTGTCTCCCTGTTGGGAAAGAAAACAACACAATAGGATTTGATGACTAGAAATGGGAAATAAGTAAAAGGAGGGACTCAGGTGATTCTGAGGTTTTTAAGTTTGGTGTGGCTGTAGATTTTGGAACAATTTTTTAATATATTATCTAGCATTGCAATTTGTTAGTAGAAAGAAGGAGGTACATCTCCATCAACATAGTCTATCCTGTTCTCACCTGCCTTTAATTATGGTGTTAAAGAGTATTCTTTATTATTATTGATTCTGCCTGTCAGTGGCTGATGGACTGGTTGATCAAGTGGTTGTTTTCTGTTTTAGCATCTCTCTGCCGAGGAATTGGCGAGAAGAAAAGAGGAAAAATGTAAATCTGTTAAATCCTCAAAAGTACCAAGACCAACAAAAAGGTATAGTGTTTTACACATGTAATTTTTTTTAACTTATCACCAATGATTAGGAATGTATGGAAAAAATACCTGATTAGCAACATATTATTCATATTAAGTTTAAAAATACTACTAGATGGGGCGCCTGGGTGGCTCAGTCTGTTAAGTGTCTGACTTCAGCTCAGGTCATGATCTCACACCCCATGAGTTCGAGCCCCACATCGGACTCTGTGCTGACAGCTCAGAGCCTGGAGCCTGTTTCAGATGCTGTGTCTCCCTCTCTCTCTGCCCCTCCCCAGCTCGTGCTCTGTCTCTCTCTGTCTCTTTCTGTCTCAAAAAAATAAATAAAAACATTAAAAAAAAATTTTTTTTAAATGCTACTAGAATT